TTCGTTCCACTTTCGAATACAATCTGTCTTGTTGAAACTTTCTTGCAACCCGCCATTTTCGCCACTAACGCTTCTTCTTGATTGTGTGCCAGAGCTTGAAGATGCCATCATTGCGCTCCCCCAACTCAATTTCCCCCTTCCCTTCTCCTTCTAAAAAAAATCTCATTCCCAAATTTCTTTGCCCTAGAATTCAATTAGTTATGACCTGTCTTTATAGCCCCAAATCATTTATTCTTAGCCATCACTAATCCATATTACATCAACTTCTATTAACAGAGTCACATGTGACTTGCGCCCAAAAATTTAACTCCAACCACTATTTGTATCTTCTTATCGCCAGAAATAGAATTTAAATACCCAAGAGATACCGAAGTATTTTAAAATGCCAATGTAATTTTTGAGCCTATTTTTTAACTATCAATGCGGTCGTTTACACATTGAAATTAGTAAAAATTGCTTCAAGGCCCAAAAAATACAAACCTGACGTATCTCAGCCCCCTAAACTTTTTCTAATGTGCATTAGCCCCCAAAATAAAAAGTCTATATGATTCAGCCCCCTTTTACAATTTCCAAGACATTAAATCCCCAAACTACCCTATTCTTCTTCTCCATATCTTCTCCATATCTGCTCCTTCTCTTCTAACAAACCCATCTCCTCTTCCACCATCTCTCCAACCTCGCTGGGAACCTCCAACACCGCCGCCACCTTCGCCGCCTCCGCCTCCCCTCGACCTCTACGGTCAGCCCTACCACCACCACACCGCCGATGCCATATGCTAGGGCCTTCAAGTAGGATCTCATTGGGGTTGGTTTTGGTCATGGGCCTTTGGTTTTGGTTGTGGGTGCTTGGATTTTGATTGTGGGTGCTTGGGCCTTTGGTTTTCGCGTCCATGTTTGGATTTTGATGGAGTTCTCTTTATGAGGTTAGGTTTAATTTTGTTGACGAGCATCATCATGTCCGTGGCCACGGAGAATAGGATGGCTGATTGTAGGTGTAAATTTTGATCTCCCGAAAACAGGGAACTTCGTTTGTATTAATAAGAAGGTTTATTACAAACTAATGAATCGAAATTACAACAGAAGCAGAGAGAAGGCCCTCCTTGTTTAGTGTGGGGACTTTCGGTAGCTACAGGATGCTTCGTTCGATGCTCGTGTCGAATCTGCTTCCCTTGGACGGTTTGACCGAAGTTGCTGGAGAGCTTCAGTACGCAGTAGAAACTCGGGTTGATGGAGTTCGGGTTCTCGAGTTCGGCGGCGATCAGGGCCCGAAACCGAGAGGGGATGCTACGGTGCAAAGGTTATGCAGAGAGCTTGCAGTCAACCCGATTAGGAGTCGAAAGCTAGTGGTTCGGTTTAGCTGATTCAGCGATGAGCGAATCGCTGGACGACTGAGAAACAGCTGAACTTCTTCTTCGTAGCTGGAAAAAGTTCTGAACTGGTGAACTGATCTCCGACCGTTTAACCTCTTGTTCGTGGCTGGAAGAAGTCCTTAAATGGTGGAGGGACGACGTGGTCACTCCTTGAATCATAGGATGTGACCATGTACTGTTGAGAGATGTCCTGCCGCTCATCTGTACTACGAACGGTCATTCGATGGGTTGTGCTTCACGTCGTGTCATGTAGGAGTGGGAAAACCCATCCTCGTATGTGAGACAGCGGCTGTCTCACTACTCGAGTGGATTTGGCCAGCTTATTGTGCACCGACGGATCCAGCTCTTGACTTGGACCGATGAGCTGAGTTGCATTTATGAGTGCGCAGGTTGATTTGGCGTCTGTCTGATCACTCGTACTGTGAGCGGCCACTGGACGGGCCTAGAGTACTGTGCTATCTCTCTTCTCAGGTCATGAGAGGTGGGAAAGCAGGTGCCCAGTACTCGAGTGGGTTTGGACAGCTCGCCGAATGCCGGCGGACCCAGCTCTCGACTCGGACGGATGAGGTGAGTTGCATTTATGAGTGTTCAGGTTGACTCGACACCTGCCCGATCACTCGTACTGTGAGCGGCCACTCGACGGTCCTGGAGTACCGTGCCTTCTCCCTTTAGGTCGAGAGAGGTGGGAAAACCCGCCCTGGCACATGGGGTAGCGGATACTTAGCTATTCTGGCGACCTTGAGGTTTGCAAGCGGATACGACCTTAGACTCGGTCAGGCGAGTCGTAAAAAGGCGAATTCCCGTTATTTAGTCGATCTTGACTCGTGCAGGCAAGTCGATCATTCGGGCGAACCTGGGACACGAGTGCGTTTGACGACCGCACGGCTTGGGCCCGTGTTGGCGATTCTTCTTTGCAGGCGAATTTCTCGCAAGTTTACAGAGGTATTTTTTACCGTCTACACTGATGAGATGTTGAGGGTGTAGACGGTTAATGGAGAAGAGGGTGAGCTTGTTCCAGTCATTCATTTGCTCGCCGATAATGGAGTGCATCTCCGCCCGTTCTCAACGATGCCGACGAAGAAGACGCCTCCTCGGTCCCCATCACCATCTCCTCGTCCTCCTCGGATGAACAACAACAACGAATATGCGACCTCCTCTCCCAGCTCGACGAAGAGCACCGATCTCACCAAGAATCCGACGATACCCTAAAACACAACGACGACGCCGTATGAGACAAAGAGCAGGCCAATTCTAAGCTAACTAATTATCATGCTAACTAATTAATTTTCTATATATGTGAACTATAACCAAAAGAATGTGATATAAAAATGATGTACAAATAAGCAGGAGCAATATTTATCATGCTAACTAACTAATTTTCAACGATGCCATTTAAGGAAATATGTAACATGTTATCCATAGCACGTAACATGTTAACGATAATAGTTAACATGTTAACTGTTGTAGTTAACATGTTAACTATTAAAGTTAACATGTTAACTGTTGTAGTTAACATATTAACATTGTAGTTAACATGTTAACTATTAAAGTTAACATGTTAACTATTAAAGTTAACATATTAACTACAGTATATAAACTGATAACTATCACAACTTACATGTTAACTATAATATGAATGCATATTAAATGTAAAAGCTAACATATTAACTATAATTTGTAACGTGCTATCCATAAGTTGTAACGTGCTATCCATAAGCTGTAACGTGCTATATAGAGCGTCAACATGTTAACTATATTTTGAGTAACAAGCTTACGCAGAAAAATAATGACACAATTGTGTACTGCTTGTTTGATAGCACATAGCATGTTAAATGAGAACTATATTAATGTGTTATAGTTAATATAATCCGTTAACACGTTAATATAGTTATCAATTTACCAATTAAGGTTAACATAGCTCTCATTTAATGTGTTATCAGTGTAACTTAACAAGCGAACTACGAAAGTTAACATGTTATCAATGTAACTTAACAAGTGAACAACGAAAGTTAACATGTTATCAGTGTACCATAACAAGCGAACAACGAAAGTTAACATGTTATCAGTGTAACATAACAAGCGAACTACGAAAGTTAGGATGTTATTAGTGTAACTTAACAAGCGAACAAAGAAAGTTAGCAGCCCAACATGTTATCGGTGTAACTTTTACAAATAACAGCACCCCAACCCCTCTTTTCCTCCCAAATTTGTACACATCCTAACTATTTACATACAAATCATAACCATTCAAAATTATAAAATTAGCCCAATATTTCAAAACCATAAAATCAAAAGAGACCACACATCTGTTATTGGTTCCAAGATCTTCTAACAAATCAAATTCAATTTTACCCTACTCCTAAACACCTGCAGGTCCCTCTCCTCCCTCAAACGCATCCACTCCCTCCTCATCACCCACGGTTCCTAGCAGGAGTGGAAGAGGAGATGGGAGATGGGAGGCAGAGCGATGGTGGCGGCGGGGGCTATGATTGAGGATGAAATCAATGAGGTCGAGGGGAGGCAGAGGTGGCAGGGGTGTTGGAGGTTCCCAGCGAGGGTGGAAGAGGATATGGGAGGCGGCGCGATGGTGGCGGCGGGGGCTACGACTGAGGATGGAGTCGATGAGGTCGAAGGGAG